ATAGCTAAAGGATGAGGAAGAGAGACGGTTTCATGACTTTTCCAAGAGTACATGCGTGAAAATAAACGCAGCAGGCTCGCCCGGCATTCGAACCCGGCTCACAGATTCCATTTACTGTGTCGATATCCGTTACACTATCACGACAAGCTTCTGTTTAAACGAATAATGTATCCCTAAAGTTTTATCTCATAGTATTAATTATATTATCAAAAAGAAATTACTTGTTTTCGGGATGTCGTGTTTTATTAATTTTACGACATGTCGACCAATGGTGGGTTAGTTAATATCGAGTTTCTTTAAAGGGCACGCGAATGAAGAACCAACTCGATATTCGCATTTAACCAGCCAAGCCGCGTTAACATTTAACTTGCTAACATTCCACAATACTTCAAATAAAAGATTATGAACAAAACGCCCATCAATACCGTAAAGAGGGATAACAGCTACTGGATTTGAGAAACATTCTTCTGAAAAGGTTTGGAAGATAGCCTCCATTTATATACAGGAAAGAGCGATAACAGCTACTGGACTTGAGAAACCAATATTCCAGAAAAGGTTAGGAAGATAGCCTCCATCTATACTGGAAAGAGTAATAACATCTACTGGATTTGAGAAACCCATTTTCCTGAAAAAGCTAGTTTGAGAAACACTCTTTCCTAAAAAGGTTAAGAAGGTTGCCTCCATTTATACTGGAAAGATGAATAACAGCTAGTGGACTTGAGAAATCATTTTTTCCTGAAAAGATTTCCTCGATAAAAAGAGTTAAGAAAAGGTTGCCTCCATTTATGAGAAACCAATATTGGTAGGAAGATAGCCTCCATCTAACTGGAAAGATGAATCAGCTACTGGACTTGAGAAAACTCTTTTCAGGTTGCCTCCATTTTTTAACCTGGACTTGAGAAATCATTTTTTCCTGAAAAAGATTAGGAGGGTAGACTCCATCGATACTAGAAAGAGTGATATCAGCTACTGGATTTGAGAAACCTATTTTCCTGAAAAGGTTGGGAATGTAGCCTCTATTTATACAGGAAAGAGCGATAACATCTACTGGACTTGACAAACCCATTTTCCTGAAAAGGTTCGGAAGGTAGCCTCCATTTATACTGGAAAGAGCAATAACACCTACTAGATTTGAGAAACCCATTTCCCTGAAAAAGTTAAGAAGGTAGCCTCCATCTATACTGGAAAGAGCGATAACATCTACTGGACTTGAGAAACCCGTTTTCCTGAAAATGTTAGGAAGGTAGCCTTCATCTATACTATAAATAGCGATAACAGATACTGGCTTTGAGAAACCTATTTTCCTGAAAAGTTTAGGAAGGTAGCCTCCGTCTATATTGGAAAGAGCGATAAGAGATACTGGATTTGAGAAGCCTGCTTTCCAGAAAAATTGTTTTAAGAGAAAGATTTCATAAATTTCAGCCAAATGCGGTACTGGCTGCTAGGTTAATGAATATCAAATGTTTCCTTATAGGGAAACGGTTAATATTACCATTACCATTATCCGAATCAAACGGACGCATAAACATTGTGGAGTACTGCTGGCATATATGGTCAGGAGCTGCTCTGTCTTCACTTTCTTGTCCTGCATGAATTTAAGCGTAATACATGACTGGCAGTGGGATCACATCAACTTACACTTGAGATAGCTAGATGTAGCCGTAACTTATATGTTAATAGTTTCTTATCCCGCACTTCTCGCTTGTGGAAGTCACTGCCGGTCACCTGTTTTCCAATCAACTTTAATCTGCAAAAATTTAAATGCAATGTCAATCGCTATCTACTGTCCTCCTGTTTACTCTTTTCTCTTTCTACTCATTAGTAATGTTTCTGTTCCTAATTTCTCCACACCCAGTAACCCCTTGCGTTTTAGTGGCTGTACTGCCTTGTTTGGGGTGACATCGAGTGAAAAAAAAATGGAAACTGTTGTCAATCTAACAATCTTTCATTTTTATTAAAGATTCGTCAGAAATTGAGATATGGAGCAAAAGAAGAAAGAAATTCTAGTATTTTTTCTTTTGTGTTGTTTGATCTTCATTGGTCAATCATGTATCACGTGCATTCGCTTCTTTTAAACCAACGTTAGTATAATTTGCGTATGTACGTAAAAACATGTGTAAACAGAATATATATATATATATATAATATATATATATAAATCAATATACGAAAAAAAAAATATATATATATATATATATATATATATATATATATATATAATATATAATACGAATATATATCAAATCATCTGAAAAAAAATATATATATATATATATATATATATATATACGCACACACAACTTAAAGGCGACATATATTTCATCATGATGTCAATCATATATATATATATATATATATATATATATATATATCTGATGCCAAGACTAAAGACGATAGTCTTTATATGCTATATATATATATATATATATATATATATATATATATATATATATATATATTTTAAACGAACTACATTCTTTAGTTCCGCCAGTTGTAACCTTCACAGTAAGACCTGTCATGACACTCACATTTTAGCGTACCCCCCTCATTCCCTTCGTATTTCATTGGTAAGATGGAAGTTCCACTTAAGCAGATATTTTCCTGCTTTGTGGAACCGACTCTCAAGATGATGCTTCCTCGATCACATCTGTTGATTTTCTAAAAGTATTAGGAATGATTGCAAATGTTTTATAATAGTCAGAAGGATACAAAATGCATGCTGATATTTTTCTTAGCCAATAAAATGGGACGGCTTGTGTTTTGACATGACACGACACAATCCACAGCTGCCTTAACTACTAGACAGACCTATTGCGTTCGCTCGTCCGACTTTGCTTTTGTGTACAAACACATAGTTTGCGAATTCTTTTGCCTTCTTACCCGTTTGATTTGTTTTAAATGTATTGTTTGCTTGCATAATTACTGCTGTATTATCTTTTGTGGCCTTTTTTTCTTTTCATTGCAAACTTTATTAATTCTGTTTGTGTTATTTATCTTGCATTTTGACAATGGCTTCTAACTTTTCAGGTTATGAGCCCAGTAAGCTTCTACTGCGCTCATAACCTGAAGTTAGAAACCTGTTCAAATCTAGGGTTAACAATTATCTTCCCCACATACCCGCAGGAGATGGGTAGAGTGGCTATTGAGTATCGCTGTAAAAGATATTGTTAAATAATATATAGATAAAAAGATATAGGCCATAGAGACGTATATTTGATTATCACATATGTCGCATATATCGGAATAAATTACCTAATCCTATTTTATTAATATGGACTCGTTGACGTGTTATAGCCTTTATCCATTTTTCGTTAATTGATTCTATTAAAGTTTCTACTGTTTCGACTTTTGCATTTACAGCCATCTTCAGAGATCTTCTTTTGCTTGAATATTGTTTTCCATTCTCATATGTAATTCTTTAAATGGCCGACCTGAAAGTTTTCTATTCTTGCCTTATTTTGAACTATTCTTGAGCGCAGCGAGGGGCTTTTTAAAAACTTGTCGTGGGGGTGACGATTGACGGCAGCAGTGAATGAGAACGGCTCAGGATGACTTGGGTGGATGCTTTTCGGAAGGGTTGGGGAAATTTGGCCTAGAGGTAGCTGATGCTAGTGACAGATGTATGTGGAGGGGTAAAAAAGGACAGGCATATGCGGGGAGGTAAGCTGAGATCCTCTATCCGGTAGGATCCACTTTGCTCTGTGCGAGATTATCCCAGTCCGGCCCCCAAAAGTAACCCCCCCAAAAAAAACAACAACAATAAAAAAACAAAACACCCCGCCAAAAAAAAAACAAAAAAAACAAACAAAACACGGCTATGATGATGATCATATCCCCATCTTAGTTGATATAGACGTTATTATAGACACAACGTTTCGACCAAATACACTCTGGTCATCACCAGGGATCCGGGTTATGGTCGTCTAGTGCTCTGCTTCCTAGACTATCTAATATGGCGGACCGGTATTTTTTTCTCCTCAATGTGTCTGTAATATTTCGTGGTGATATTAATTCATAACGGAAACGATATATATATATATAATGAATATAATAAAAGTTGGCTATTTTTTATCTTCCATTTACTTTGCAAAAAATAATTCAATATCAAAACATATAAAAAAATAATTAAAAAAGCAGTTTATTAACACAAAAACAAAAATTATATAACCTTCATCTTTACAAATGATTCCTTAGCATGACCTGGACACTGGCCGCGGACCGGTAGCCGATGGTTCGCGTACCGGCACCGATTCGTGAACCCCCACTTTGAGTAGCACTGGTCTAGTGGTCATTAGTTCAATCCTTGGATCAGGCAGTGAAGCACCACTTCAACAGGAACGAACAATAACTGACAAAATATCGCAATAATCAACAGATATCCCATATCAAGACAATCAATCACTGGATCATACTTGGTCGAAACGTTGCGTCTATAACATCATCGATATAGTGATTTTCCAAGCGTAGCTTAGATGTGGCACAAAGCCGGAAGTATGGAGCACTCAGTGAGGATCGAATTCACTATTCAGTCATAATTGTTCTAGCATAACAAGCTTGTTAACCATTACACCGCCTCGGGGTGCCCATACATCATCTATATAAACCATGTTTTCTGTTAGAATAATATCTGAAATTTGAATACTGACCCTCATCATTGAAGAGGCAAGTACATTAGCGTCTCTTCCATTCCCTATCAGAGATTGGTATTGGAATGATCTTCGCAAACGCCGCTTTTGTTGAATATCGTGTATATTAGAAATGCTAGACTGATCGAGATTTGCAAATGGCTTTTAGTCTTGTCTTAAAATACCTTTTCTTTCCATAATGTCAGTTTGTGATAACCCAATGTATGGAAGAAGTAGACATCAACCAATTCGACTTTCAACCCTCTTCGATACCACTACAGCTTTGTTCTCAAGTGGAAACTCTTACTAGCAAAGTAGTTGATATTTATTAAGCTTTATAGAATCTGGTACTCTAGATTGTCTGCAATAAGCGCTTGTATGTTCTCCTCATTCGGAAGGTTGGCGCAATATAGTCTTCTTATTTGGCTTTAAGTTCTGTTAATTTAAACTTAGCAAATGTCAAAGTGCTAAGGGAACGAAGGTTTAAGTGAGAGAAAGAGAAGAAAAAAAGAGAGGGTAGGAAGAAAGTGGTATTACAAGTGAGATTTGCTTGGGGTGAAATGCTTTTATATATATATATATATATATATATATATATATATATATATATATATAGAGAGAGAGAGAGAGAGAGAGATAGATAGATAGATAGATAGATAGATAGATAAAAAAGAAAGACAGAGACAAGGAACTGGAGAAAGGTGGAAGGTGAAAGGTATTGGAATTATAAAAGAGAGAGGAATCGGGGTAGATGGAGGGTGAAGCGTAAAAAAGAAAGAAAAGAAAGAAAGAAAAAGAAAAAAAGAAAGACATAAAAAAAAAATAGAAAGATGAAGAAAAAAGACGCAAAAATAGAGATGAAGAAAGAAAGAAAGAAAGAAAGAAAGAAAGAAAGAAAGAAAGAAAGAAAAAAGAAAGAAGACAGTTGCAAGAAGAAGGTGGAGAAAATTGTTGTGGAATTACCGCAAAGAGAGTGATGAAGAAAAAGAGAGAGAAAAAGACGTAAAGGAAGGAAAATAATAAGATGATAATTACAAGAAAGAAAGAAAGAAAGAAAGAAAGAAAGAAATAAAGAAGGGTATGGGGTGAAAAGGAATAGAAAAGAGGGAGAGAAATTTAGTGGTGTTAAAAGTAATGAGGAAAGAGAGGAGTGTCATGGGAGAGAAAGATTGTGGTAATGATGGGGTTGTGCATACGGACGCGTCTGCGCATGCGCATGATGTCATCAAATGGGAAGTGCGAAAAGGTGAAGATAAGGAAGAAAGAAGCAAACAAGTTGACAGACTGGAATGAGATTTGTGGTTTTTATGCTGTTTTTATTTCTATTCTTATTTAGCATGAATGATTTGTCGTCCATTCATCTGTTCACTCTCTCTCTCTCTCTCTCTCTCTCTCTCTCTCTCTTTCACACACACTGTGTTTCCCTGTCCATATATGTACTTCTTTCTTTCGTTCTTTCTTTGTTTTATATTTGTTTCTATATTCATCTCTATTTTTGCGCATTTCTTTCTTCTTTCTTTCTTTCTTTCTTTTTTCTTTGCTTCTATATTCATCTCTATTTTTGCACCTTTCTTTCTTCCTTTCTTTCTTCCTTTCTTTCTTTCTTTCGTTCGTTCTTTCCTTTTTTGTTTCTATATACATCTCTATTTCTTGGAGCCTTTCGTTCTTTACCTTTTTATTTCGTTCTTTCACAGTTTTTTTTTCTTTCTTTGTTCCTTTTTTCTTTCTCTGCTTTTCATCCCTATTTTTGCGTCTTTCTTCCTTCTTTCCTTTCTTTCTTTCTTTGCTTCTATATTCGTCACTATTGCGCCTTTCTTTCTTTCTTTCTTTTGCTTCTATATTTATCTCTATTTTTGGAGCGTTTCTTTCTTTCTTTCTTTCATTCTTTGCTTCTATGTTCATCTCTATTTTTGCACCTTTTTCTTTTCTTTCTTACTTCCTGTCTTTCTCTCTTCCTTTCTTTCTTTCTTTTTTGTTTTGCTTCCATATTTTTGGAGCGTTTCTTTCTTTCTTCCTTCCTTTCTTTCGTTTGTTCTTTATTTCTTTGTTTCTTTTATGCTTCATAATTATTCTTTTTCCTTTTCTCTTTTAAGCGTCCTTTTTAATGCAGGCTTTTTCTTTTCTCGCTTTTCATTTCGTTCTTTCAGATTAGTTTTCGTTTCTTTTATACTTTTTCTTTGTTTTTTTTTTGCTCCTTCCTTCCTTCCTTCCTTCCTTCCTTCCTTCCTTTCTTTCTTTCTTTCTTAATAACAAAGTAACTTTGCGTAATTATTTTTGATTAGTCTTTTTTTAAAAAACGTGCGTAAAAATCCAAGCAAGGTCAATGTCAGAAAGAGAAAAGCATTTAAAATGCCAAAAGAAAAAAAAAAAGAGGGAAAAAATAGGTGCGAGTTGTGGAAAGGGCAATTGCGGTGCATTCAGTGCACATGCGCACACACACGCGCACGCACATGCAGAAATACGCGCGTGCGCACACACATGCAAAAAGCATCCAAAGGCGCGCGTGCAGGCACACAAACGTGCCCACAGAAGATACACACACACACACACACACACACACACACACACACACACACACACACACACACAGAGGGAGAGAGAGAGAGAGAGAGAGAGAGAGAGAGAGAATAAGAAAGAGAGGAAATCGAATTAAGAAAATTCAATGCACAAATTCAAGGAAAAGGTACATTGAAATACTGAGTGAGAGAAGGAAACTTCTTAGATCACAATTTGGTGTTTTTAGTTTTAACGGCTTATCAACCCTTTATAGGTAATTTAAAACTGAATCATGTTTTGGATTGTCGGAAGTTGCTTACAGTATCCGGTGTTTCTTAAACGGCCCTTCGACACTGCTTAACGTTGCTGATCGAACGAGAATTTGTTAATTAGGATTGGTGCACCTGACGCAGAGCGATGATTAACGAGCTGTTCCATTGACACTTGGTATTATGGCCTTGTAAGAAAACTGGAGACAGCAAGATTTTTGTGTCTGTGTTTCGTTTCCACCAATTCACTATTTCATTTCACCTGCTTTTTTTTTTTTTTTTTCTGTAGCTTTTTTACATAACCTCTACTTTTCAGTCCCCCTCTCCCAACTTCTTTCTCTTGCTTTGTTTTACCCATTTTATCTTGTAGTGCTGAAATGAACAGATAGGCAGTAGATGTTAAATAACAGTTTAGAGAAGTGTATTTTTGCTCTGACTTCTTCAGTTTAACCTTTGAGGTCAGATACAGGACAAAACAAGGGAAGTCGATTTTGATTGGCTGAACTAGTGTGGGAATGATAGATAAAGTTTTTTTGATAAGTTGTTTTCTAGACATCAACTAATGTAGATGGGTTTCCTTCTTGTCTGAGAAGCGGCTTCCCAGTGGGGTATGAGAGCGACGCCATTGTCTAGTTAGAAATGTACACGTCGACGTGTTTAATAAAATAAAGTTTAAAATTCCCTTTGTTGATATCCTTTTATCCCCGAACGATTAGAGATCACCGGCTGTGAAAGAAGGCGGCACCGTTATTCTTATCGAATGGTGACCGTCGCCCCAAGAGCTCCCCAGAACGAGGGGGCTATGGAACAACTAAGCTCTCGCTCGCACAACACTACTCCTAGAGGCCATAGCCCAACATCTCATACCATTTTGGAATCAGGCCGACACCGTGAGGAAATTTTGGATTCCCAAGTTTTCATTACTGTGATTGTTCTCGACAATTGTTTTGCGTGATTTTTTTGCGACGAATAACTATTATTATAACTTGGAAATAAATTTGGGAATAATCGAAATTAATTGCGAAATCCAAAGTGACCCATGAAATAAAAATAATTGTTTGTACAGAAAGTAAGGACCTACGTACATCAAATTATCTTTAAATTAAGTGGCGGCAGAAGAATTATTATTGAACTTTTAAAAGGTAAGCTTAAATATTAATGCAATACTTAAATGCAGTGATCAATTTTGAGTTCTTCTATAGTTTATTGATGCCTATTGCATCTACTCCTCCATAGCAATTGCGATGAAGGTCCAATCAAAAGTCCTCCACAGGATTCAGCTTACATGCTGCCCAATAGAGCAGCTTTTAATCTAGTAATTTAAAAATCTGGCGAAAGTGCGTATTGTGATGTCGGCTTCCAAGGTTTTTTTTTACTTTTTTACTAATGTTCACGCAGTAAAAGGCCCAAGAGCCACTTAAGGTAGAGGGTTACTGTGTGGAGTCGTATTAGCGTAATAAAGGACACGCGTTAGGAGTATAGAGATGGAGTAGACTATAATCAATCAATCGTTATCTGCTGTCTTTTTGATTCCTCTTCTTTTATTTTTCTCTCTCCTTAATAGTGTTTCTCTTTTTCTTATTCATTCACACTCACTAACCTCCTGCGTCTTAGTGACTGTACTGCTACTTACTTTCCAGTAAACTGGGTTCCCCAAAAATGTAAATGCAATGTCAATCGTTATCTGCTGTCTTCTTGATTCCTCTTCCTTTATTTTTCTATCTCCTTAATAATGTTTCTTTTTTTCCTCTCTTATTCTTTCACACTCAATTTTTCTCGACAGAATCTATTTTACATATATATAAGTCCACCATTCGTCCTTGCTGTGAATATTGCTGCCACGTTTGGCCTAGTGCTCCTGCTATATATTTAGAGGTTCTTGATAAACTCCAAAGAAGAAACTGCAATCTCGGCTTCAGTTACTTTCCCACCGTCGTAACGTAGCTTCTCTGTGCCTTTTCTCTGGATACTTTGAAGGTAATTGTTCTGATAAACTTTCCTCTATTGTACCTGGACATTATGAATTTAAGCGCAGTACTAGCTTGGCGGCAAAGTCTCATCAATTTACAGTTGGAATGGCCAGATCGAACCGTAAGTTCTATGCTAATAGTTTCTTCTCGCTTGTGGAACACTTTTTCGGCTTTTTGCATCCCAGTCAACTTTGATATTCAAAAAATTAAATAGAATGCCAATCGTTAACTTATATCTTCTTAATTCTTATTCCTTGTCCTCTCTCCTTAATAGTAGTTTTTTTCTCATATTCTCTAACACTCAGTAACCTCTTGCGTCCTAGTGGCTTTATTGCCTTGATTGAAGTGAAATGATTAAAAAATAACAAAAAAAGAAACATGTTTATTAATGTCTGAAGGGAGTCTTGAAGATTTTTCTAAAATAGATGATTAGCGCCATATTAGATGTCTTTCATCGCAATGTAATTTTCTGTATTAAAAAAAATCTTCCAAAAATAAAATGTCTTTTTCTGAAACTTTATTTGAGTAATATTAGCTGTTTTAAAGCATAATTAATCTGATTTGATAAAAAAATATTTACTTTAAGTTTAAATTAAAACAAAAATGTATTTTAAAAACAAAACAGTAACTGTTTTTAACCGACATCACCATGTTTTACGTAATTGGCGAGGTGTTGGCAGGCCTTGACATAATGATTGCTGTTCTACAGAGACTTTATCTGTAAAATATAATTTAAGAAAATGACGTTAGCGCCATTTTTATATAATTTTTAAATTCTTAGTAATCTTAAAAATCTTGTAAAATGTTATCCGTAATCTAATTTTAGGAATGTTAGCTGTAAATTCACTATAGTCATCACACTTCCGATATTGTCATGTATGGTCGACCCTACATTAAAAAATGGGCACGTTACGTAATATTTTATATACATAAAAAATGTTTTTAATTATTTTTAAAATCTTGGTGCAAAATGATTTATATTAAGTTTTTCAATTTTTCACTAGTAAATATAGTTTTCACTTAATAACAATATCACTTAACCGGATGAAAGTAATGCAGAATTTTAAAAGATTTATATATATATAAATTATTATATTATTATTAAGGCCTAAAGAGAGTCTTGAATATGGCGGCCTGCACATCATTAAAATCAGTCCATTCACTTTTATTATTCATCACATTTTATTTTGTTTTGATGATTGCCAATCTTTATATATGTTGTCCTATATTCAGCCTCTTAAAGGGTCTATGTATATAAGATAAACCTTCGGGCCTTGCATTGTAATCAAAGCGGAAGCCCAGAAAGGGGAAACTAGTGAAACAGTTCAAAGAAATCGTCAAGGAGAACTGAATAGAAGAAATGAAAACAAAAACAAATGAAACGAAAATAAGAATTGAAAAAAAAAAACTTAAAAAACAAACTGGAGAAAGAAATGAAAACAAAATACTAGCAAAAAAGAAACGAAAAAAAAAATAGAACTGAAATCTTACTTATTATAAAACCCAGGTTGTGTGTGTGTGTGTGTGTGTGTGTGTGTACGTTTATATA